ACCCACACCAGATGGAAAACTCTACAGACTGTCGGTTCACACCCCATCACAAGCCAGCAAAACATCCACGAAACAAAGAAAGGTCTGTCACAGCCAAAAAATACACTCCATATATATATATATATATATATATCGTCACAAACAGAATATATATATATGATGTGCTGTCTGGCCTCCTGGATCGGACTTTTGGTAATGTGTTTCTGTTGTCTTGCTTTCTCTTTTTTTCTTTTTTTTTTGTACTGACTTGGCTGGTTGTTTGGTGCAGATATGGAGTATATCGCAGAGGAGTCAGATGCAATGGGTTCACTTACCCACCCAGGCAGAGATACTTTGTATACCCTTTTCTTTCTTTCGGGCTTTAACAGGCCCTGAGGATGCTCAATATCATCCTTATACTGCCTGGTACATGCATCTGATGTGGCACATGGCCACTTCCCACATCGATCCTTGGTTCTTGATGACGATACCCAGCCTGCCTATCAAGAGGGATAGGAGAGAGACCTACTCCTATTCGCAGAATGCTGGACCCCCTACTTTAGTGAGCCCAGTCCCTAACACATCACCCTTGGGTCACCAGACTCTGACGACTCAGACCTGACAGCTATGACACCCCAGATCCAGACTTCGACTCCTGACCAGATCAGCAGCAGTCACCTTCAGAGGGTCAGAGAGAGAAGGTAGAGGACACACACATGCATGCAGGTTCAGGGAAAAGGAGGTGCTTCTCTCTTCTTGAAGATACCGCCGATGATGCTCCACGACGCTCCGCACGCTCCAGGTAAGTAACTTCGTCACTTCTTCTTCGACCTGCTTCCCCCACCATCAACACTCTTCTTCTCTTCCTCCCTCCTTCACTGTTCCTCCATCACCACTTCTTCTCGCCGGCCTTGATCAGACCAGCGCTATGAGAGTAGCGAGCATCTGCTCCGATACCAAAATTTTTGCATGGGTCCTGGGGACCATCTCACGCAGATGTGTACATGTCATGCATCATCTTCACACACAGCGATCAATAGTATCAACCATAGACAAAGGTAGAGAAGAADAGGACCGAGTTTCACAACTTATATTATCAGAAATATGAATACAAAGTGTTTCAAAGTTCCCCTGAGTCCAGCGCTTATCAGCGCAACCCCAATCTCTTGTCAGCTCATCAATATGACTTCCAGTGAATCAGCGCTACTCCTGCAGATAACCTCCAAGTCATCAATGTGGTCACTACCCATCAGCGCCACCTCTACAGCCCACATTCAACTCAGGTAGGTATCTTCCATAGCCCAACCTTGAATGAACACTCTCAGCCTCAATCTCTTCCTCCTACGATGCATACACACCCTTCATTCATGAGGATCTACTCTGAATACTACTCATAGCTACATACTAACCCACTACTACTAATGCTAACTTGCTGGGCAGCTATGGCTGCATCACTTCCAGCATGCAATCCTCTTCCCTCACTCAGCGCATCTGCTTCCTCCAGCGCTGCTCCTACTGACTTATCGCACAAGTGCTCCAGCACTTCCACGCTGAAACAGCCAGTGGAGATCTGGCGAGGAATGAGGCTGGCTGCCTCCTTTATACTCCTCGCTGGGTCTGCATTGGCTCAATCCAGCCTTCCTTTTGTCCCAGACCCTGCATTGCATGTGTCCCAGTAGAGTCCCAATGAAGTTCAACTGCTGCTGAGGCCTCCCGGCCTGAATTTGGACTTGAAAGTCTGGATCTGGACTGACCCCTGGACTTAGACCAGAACTGGGACTGTGCCTATGGACTTTACTTTCGGACAGGCACAACTCTCAACGAACAGACACATTTACTGCTTGAACAGACACTTTACTTTGAACGAACAGGTACACTGCCTGCACGTACAGACACACTCTTACCCGAACAGACATGACATACACATCTCCTGGTGAACAGGTAAGTCTTTTGACAATGCCCTTTGCCTTAGCTTTAGATATGCTTGTTGATAGAGAACTTGACCTTTGACCTGCTTTCACGTTTCTGAGCCCTGGTGAGATACCTTTTCACAATGCTTTACTTTTACAAGGTCTGTGCTGCGTTACTTTGACAAGGCCTGAGGCCTATTTCGGGTAAAGGCCCTTTTACATGGATGATTTGGATGGATGGATGGATCCATACTTGATTGCGGGGATGGAACAAGAAAGCAAACAAGGGAAAGGGATGCATGAATGAACAAAAATGGAATGAAACGGAGAAGGGAAAACTGGAAGGGGGAAGCGAGTGCAAGCAAGCGAGGGAGTGAGAGACAGAGCAAGCGAGCAATGAAGCGAGTGAGCGAGTGAGCGAGTGAGTGAGTGAGTGAGTGAGTGAGTGAGTGAGTGGGGAGGGAGGGAGGGACGGAGGGAGGGAGGGAGCGGGAGCGAGGAAGGCAGGGAGGGAGGGGGAGAGAGTGAGCAAGTGAGGGAGGGAGATAGAAAGGAAGGGAGGGAGGAAGAGAGGAAGGAAGAAGGAAGGAAAGAAAAAGGGAGTGAGGAAGGGAAGAAGGAATGGTAGAGTAGGAAGGAAGGATGAAGCAGCAAACAAATGGGCAAACGGACAAAAATTGTTAAAGATAGGAATAAGCAAATATAAGTCAGTGAGGGAATGGATGGGCTGCAGGAGGATGGATATGCGCAACAACTTGTTTAAAGTGACCGAGTTCGGGGGATGTTACTTAAAGTGACCAAGTTCAGGGGATGTGCGCACGAACTTACTCAAAGTGACCGACTTTGATAAAGTCCTTAAGAAACTGAAGAACGACCCATTTTGCAAAGGACTCCAAATAGGATGGAACAAACTGTTTGACAAGGGGGAGAGATTGGAATGGCTTGCCCAACAGATCCATGGCTGCTGATTGACCCGCCTGTTTGGCACGCACGCACACACACCCACACACACAAACGATACATTTGGTCATTCTTCAATTATCCTTGGCACGCACGCACAAAGAATACATGTCACATCAGCCAGCCAGCCAGCCAGTCAGGTAGCCAACAAAAAAAAAAAAAAAAAAAAAAAAGGCCAGCCAATGAAATAGCTTGACCAATAAGTGAAATTCAGCCAAGTTGACAAAACCAGGGAATAAAGAAAAAAAAAAAGAGAAGAGTCGAGTTCATCAAACCCAAGCGAATCACGCATGATTGAGTGAGGTTCACGTATGCATGGACGCAAGTGGGGAAGAAAAAGAAAAAGAAAAAGAAAAAAAAAAGTGGGAAAATTCAAATTTCAAAATTCTTCAATTATTCTTGTCATGTGTGCGACTGTGCATAATCAGTGGATGTACAGTGTACACATGATTGAGCGAGTTTTACACACAATTGAGTGAGGTTCATGTACACATCAGGGAGGGATGGACACGACGTCGCAGGAGTTCCTGCTTCAAGTCAAATAATGCCTGACCAAACCCAAGAGAATCAATTGGCCAGGAAACCAGCCAACTAAACAATCTTAGATTCTTAGTATCATTGTATCATACACCTTTTCATTTTCTTTTTTCCTCCCCAAATGCTGAGGGGGATTGGATCACAAAATGTTTCAACAGAATGAATTGCAATTGTCACAAATCAATATTGGGCAATTTATTGCTATCTGTGACCTGTCCCTACGACCAATCATTCGTTTGGAGTGTGGCACCACTTGAGGGGACTTACTATTGGAAGTGATGATAAGACCAAATCCTCCAACAGAGAGTCCCCAGATGTGATGGGCCCAGACTTCTTGGTGCAGTTGCCACTCCTCACCAATAGATTGTGGGCCTCATCTCCTGGAATTCGCAACCACCAGTGGATCAGGGACTTAGTGGTGAGGGAGGGCTGTGGGAGGGGTAAATTACTAAATTCCAGCCTGGCGGAAGTGGTATTGAAAAGTTCAATTTGCAGCTCTACCCTCTTCTTTGTGAGGGGAAACCACACTGGAGAAGCTCAATTTGCAGGTGTATCCTTTTTGGCGGCCGCCGGTGGCACCTTGAAGTTTCAGATCTGCCATCTTCTTTGCTACACTCCAACGATTGGCAGGATTGCAACACCTGCTGGTCAACCGGGGGGCAGCTTGTTTACAAATTGCAGACCTTGGATTGACTTTATTACTTTTTTGTGATTAATTTTAATAAATTTACTGTTCCATTTTCTTCAAAAGAAATCAAAATGTTTCCAAACTTGTCGAGATCGAGTCAAAAGGTGTAACATGCAGAATTTCAGAACTATCCATCTTTTTTTTCCAATTTAATTATACTCTTAATATTTTATTCATACAAGTGGTTCAGAGATCAAATTGAAATTAATAAAAATTATCAATTCGAAATTAATTAAAAAAATGACCTATCCTACCTTGAATCCATCTTCGTGAAAGCCGTAACCTGCAGGACATCATCCAAAGACAAATGCCAAAAAAAAAAAACGAAAAAAAAAAGAAAAAGAAAGAAGAAAAGAAGCAGAAGACAATCCGAGAGTTTAAGTAACCTAATACTTGAGAAAGTTGAGCAAACCCAAAAAACAAAAAGACCGGGAAAATTGCACACGCACTCAAAAATTTTCTTCAGCTGAAAATCCAGACAAAATAGACAAGTTGTCAAGTTGTTAAAAAAAAAAAAAAAAAAAAAAGTTGGGAAAAAGAAAGATAAGAGAACAGAAGATGTGAAGAGACCTGCTTCGCAAGGGTGGCGCACACAACATGAGCAACCTGTCTCTTTTTTCCCTTTTTGAAAATGCAATAACCATTGTTGGGGCGCACCTCGGTGCGCGGATTTGCGCACGATTTGCACACCGCGCGCAGCGCACCCAAGCGCACCGCACTATAAAAATTAGGTCCAAACAACAACAACAAAAAAAAAGTACGGGTTTTGTCATTCCTTAGGGTCCCCAACTCGGCAAAAATGTTAAACGCACCGCGCGAGCTCGAAAACCGGCCGCGCCCCTGGCCCGAACTTTTTTTGGGGCAAGGGCTGCCGAATTTCAATTTCCGCAGGCCCAACCCGAAGAAGTTTCAAAAAGGCAAAGCCTAAAATAGGGCTCATTCCAACTTTTCTCTTAGGCCGGGTATGGAAACTGGCCTTCCCCCTCCCTTCTGCAAATCCCACGCAGTGGTGGGGTAAGTTCGGTAGCAGAGGGTAGTCGCCTAGTAACGACCTGCCCCACAAACTTCGCAGAAGTTACAAGTTACATTTTCATGTTTGGCCGACCACCAATATATTCTGAAGGTTGGCGTTCAGGTCTGCATGTCGGCAGTTATGGGTTAGGATGAAGATGCCCCTAGCTCTCTCGGTTTTTTGTTTTTGTTTTCTTATGAATACGTACAGTGGGGCCTGCTCCACTACTCACCACATGCACAAAAGAAATAGCCTATGGCGGTGTATGGTCCCATGTTTTACCAGAAGATTCATTCTACTAATATTATTATTGTATACATTTGGTGAGTGGTGGAGGGAGCTCTCGTTTTTTTGTTTTTGTTTTCTTACGAATACGTACAGTGGGGCCTGCTCCACTACTCACCACATGCACAAAAGA